GGTGTGAATGAAAGGAGCCTTGCTGTTGAGCACAGCCCAATGATTGAGAGCTGCAGCCTGGGATTTAGACGGCAGGCTCTGTTTTCCTAGCCTCCTAAATGGGTCCTCTTCTCTCTGCAGGTGTTTCCCATTAAACACTACCAGGACAAAATCAGGCCTTACATCCAGCTGCCATCACACAGAAACATCACTGGCATCGTGGAAGTGATCCTTGGGGAAACCAAGGCCTACGTCTTCTTTGAGAAGGACTTTGGGGACATGCACTCCTATGTGCGAAGCCGGAAGAGGCTGCGGGAAGAGGAGGCTGCACGGCTCTTCAAGCAGATTGTGTCCGCGGTGGCCCACTGCCACCAGTCGGCCATCGTGCTCGGGGACCTGAAACTTAGGAAATTTGTCTTCTCCACGGAGGAGAGGTGAGCAGCCTCCGCAGCTCTTCCTGTGGCCTTTCAGGGCGCAGTTAGGTGCAGTTAGGTGCAGAGTGTTGGTTCAAATCAGAGCCAAGGGCTCAGTTGTCCCAGACTTAGTATTTAGAAGTCCTCTCCTGAGGAGCCGTGGCCAAGGATGGTTTATTCTGCACTCTCGTGGATGTGGCCTGGGGACATCTTGGTGCTTCTTTCTGTGGGATGTCATATGATGACAGGATGCCCTCCCCACTTCCACTCCAGGATCAAGTTTATTCCCCATTGTTGTCAGAAAGGTCAGTTCTTCTGGGGTGCGGATGTCACCCTGCCCGTCACAACCTGGACCCCTAAAGGAAGTTTTCAAGTCCTTGCTTCTACCAAGTGGGGCCTTTTTTTTTGTACCTAGAAAGTATCACAGAGCTAAACTGTTGTATTTGCAGAATTGTGCCCTCCTCCTCTGTACCATATTCCTGTTTCTTTTCAGTCTGGCCCCCAATCCTTTCTTTACATCCTCTGGTGACTTTTTAGACCTTTTGTTTGGATACATCTTCAGAAAATAGCCACATTGAATAATAAATGGAAGTTGGCTGGAATTGGTTGCTAAGTATAGATCATGACTTACCTCATAAAGGACAAGATGAGCTTGATAAGAGAATAATGAGACACTAAGATTCAGACTTGTGGTTTCAGACCAGGGAATTCAGGAAGCTGCAGGAGATAAACCTCACCTGATTGTAAGAGGTGGGCCACATCCCTTATGGGGAGGTTAAGAGCAGTACCCTTGTAGAATTGTCGAGGGGTGTGTGTGATTTTGTTGTAGCTTTTCATGCGGGGCTTTCCTCCACCTGTGCACTTTTACTCTTACCTCCAGATCATAGGAAAGATTACGGGGTTGAGTTGCCATAAAACATGGCTTTGTATCTGACCTTGCAATACTTATTGGAACACACCGATTAGCAAAGAAAAGCCAAGTGTTTGCAATGGAGAAGTTTCCAATTCCTGGAACATGCTCCTTCGATATGTTGATGTGTTTTCTGAAACATGCCTTACACACCTCCTTACCAGCTTTTGAAATCTGCATTGCACAGGCGAATGTCATGTGCACGGAGTTTGGCAACCCGAGGGTTAAGCAATGGCAGGCTGACGCTATTCGTGTAACCAGCACAGGTGCAGGGTTTTAGTACTACAGCAGCCAATCAGGGGCAGACAGTGCGGGTTGAGTCATATTTTCCGTTTACAGAACCAATGGGTATTTTACATAACGACGAGGAGGTCAGGCTGAGGACATACCGAAGTTAGCACATGTATACTACACTCCAGGGAACAGGAAGGCAGGAAGGAAAAAAAAAAACAAAAACAGCCAGACCTTTGAGAGGAAAAGAAATTGACCCATTAGCCAGTACCAAATGTTTGCATTTGACTTCACAACAAGTGACTGACTGATACCAGGGCTATTTCAGAGAAGCAGGAAAGAGCATTAACTGCCAGCAGATAATAGAGGTTCCCCCCATGTGGCTCTGGGTTTGGGGGGAATCGGTGAACCGTGGGTGGCTGGTTCTGAATAAGGAGGCACCCGCACCTTCGTAAGAGCCTCTGATTAAAGATGTTTCAGACTTCAGCTGTTACCTGGACAGATAACCCCCCACGTAGAGTAAATCTGCTTCGGTGTTGAGGTACCATCCGCATGTACGGATGTCTGTAGGCCCCGCAACCTTCAAATCCATTAGCCACTTGTGTTTGCTCACGTGACCTCTCGGCCCAGGCTAAGTGTTCTTTGCAATTAAACACCCCAATAAATGTAATTAACATTCCTGGCCCCTATCTCATCACAGTTACCGCGGCCTGGGCCCAGGTGGACAGAGTTCCCTTTGTGTGTGTCTGTCAGCGTGACGTATGTGCATAATAGCAGTGACTTTGGGCCCCATGTTCTGTGATGCCAAGTGTGGGCCCATGGAGCCCTGGCAGTTTAATGGCATAAGAATAAGATCGGCCTGTAGGATGCTCCGGGCGGGGTGGGGTGGGGGGCTGAAGAGGTGGGATACACTGTTCTTCCCTGATACCGTGTGTAGAAAATGTTAGCAATTCCCCTGAGACCGGCTCCCACTTCTGCAATGTGAACTTTGTAAATTGTGTAACCCTATTAGGATATCTCTTCTAAGCTCTAGCATAATGAATAGTATCTGGGGCTTTGCATCATACCCTCCCGCCCCAGGCTCTCTCTCGATACTTTGCAAATGTTTATTGCGGTCTGTATTGGTTTGTGAAATCCCGAGTCCTGGGTGGTTGCAGGGCACTGCTTACTGGATGAAGGGGTAAATGGCATTCCTTGGGCCCTTGCCTTTAGTGCCTGTGGGCACTGTTAATAGAGAAGGCCTTGTTTTTCATAGCAGCTGATCTGGAAGTAATAGCTTGTTTCCTCTCCTGCAGAAGCCAGCTCAGACTGGAAAGTCTAGAAGATACACACATAATCAAGGGAGAAGACGACGCTCTGTCAGACAAACATGGCTGCCCAGCCTACGTGAGCCCCGAGATTCTGAACACCACGGGGACCTACTCTGGAAAGGCAGCAGACGTTTGGAGCCTGGGGGTGATGCTCTACACCCTTTTGGTGGGACGATACCCCTTCCATGACTCAGACCCCAGTGCCCTCTTCTCCAAAATCCGCCGTGGACAGTTCTGCATTCCTGAGCACATTTCCCCCAAAGCCAGATGCCTCATTCGCAGCCTCCTGAGACGGGAGCCTTCCGAGAGACTCACTGCTCCTGAGATCTTACTCCATCCCTGGTTTGAGTCTGTCTTGGAACCTGGATACGTCGACTCAGAAATAGGAACTTCAGACCAGATTGTTCCAGAGTACCAGGAAGACAGTGACATTAGTTCCTTCTTCTGCTAATCCCAAAACCTCAGAAACCTCAATTCTCACACATAGCATTTCCATTTCTAAAGATGGACAGGCCTTTTGGCGTGGTGCCAGCCAGACATGCGATGGCGTAAAGACCGTAGCTGCTGAACTCAACGTGGGCCCCCCCCCTTATTTGTTATGATGAGTGACTGTATTGATCTGAGCGGCACACACTCTGATCCGGCTGCCCCGCAAAGTTGTTTCCCTTCTCAATGAACCGTCAGCAACTGTCCCGCTGTCAGATGCAGGGGTGGGGGCTGGTGGGTTCTGCGTCTTCATAGGTGGCAGAGAGTATGGATATCCTACAGGGCGTGTGGTCAAGTGAAAGGAACTCCAACATTTTAAAGGGAGAGGAAGTGAGTCGCACAGTGGCATTTTGGGCAATAACCATATTTCAGCAGGGTGACAGATCATTTGGGCCAATGAACCTGCCATCTTTGAACTTGTCTTTGGGAGCTAGACGTTTGCTACCCCAGCTTCTCTATTGGAAAGTTCATTTTTGGGGGGGGGTTGGTTTAACACACACCCTTTCTTCACACTCACAGTTACCAATGACCCTGCTCCATTTTTGGAGCAGACTGTTTTTGGAGCAGAGGAGCCTGCCTGAACTACGAACCCAGACTCTCCTCCATTTCCTGCCAAGACCTCATTTGCACTAATGCCTTCTATCTGACCTTGAAACGTCCCCTTCTTTGCTGTCAGCACTTACCAGCTAACCGTGGAGAAGTATCACAAGAGATTCGAACTCCTGGCTATTTCGGAACTCTCAGCTCAGAGAGACTGCAGATTTTTAACGTTAATTTGAGCACTTGGAAACCGTTAGCTTTGTTGGTTCCCCTGAAACGGGTCAGCCTTTATCCTTTTTTCCCCAAGACCATCTCAGGGTGGAGCATTTTGTCTAGGAGAAGAAAGATAGGGAGATTCCTCGCCTCTCCCAAGAGCAAATGGTAAACCTCTCTGTGCTTCGGCGAAAGTGGAGTTTGGATAGTCTTAGACGACTCTCAGACCCACGCATCCCCTTCATGGATATGGTCTGCCCCTGGTGTTGTGTGTCACGTCTGCAGTTTTGCATGATGGGTTGTTAATATTTTAAATTTGATGTGGTTTATGAATACATCTCTATGATCAGCATCCGGAGTGAAATAGCCCCAAATCTTTCAAGTTGGAAGAGACTTTCAGAGTATCCAGTCCAACTTTTTTCCTCTCTCTGCCATCTCCCAAAGCAGAACCCCCCCCCCAACTTAACCTTCCTTCAGGTGGGAATCCAGCATCTGTTTGAATGCCTCCAGAGATGGGAACTCACTACCTACGAAAGACATTGCTTAACAGAGAAACTGCAACTCGCATTAAAAACGAAAAAAAAAACAAAAAAAACCAAGAACCCAAGAAATATCAGTAAATGTCTCAGTACTGAAATCAGGTGGTTAAACGGGTAAACCGAACATACTGTATTTTGAGAAATGGCACAGAGACAGGCAGGCCATCTTCAAGGGCTCCGCCTAGGCAGACAACTAACCTGCATTGTGAGAATGTTGTCAATACCTCACGTACTGTGTACTTTGTATATATATTCTACCTTTTATACCTGTTGTCCGATATGTGTTGTTGTTTTGGCTCTGAGGCTTGGTTTGTTGTCTGTGTCTGTCTGAATAACCTGCGTGTCTAAAACCACGTGAAATGTGAATGATTATTGGCAATATTACCTTGACAGAATCATGGGACTCGGAGAAGAGGGAGGGCAGAGGCCTCTTGTCGCACTAACGCGCTCGTGGTTGCTCGACTGTTGTATCTGTGATACGTTACCCGGCTGAGGACTCTGGGCTGGCTGGGGCTTCTGCCGGGAAAGCTCGAAACACTAGATCCTTCCTGTACATGTGTATATATGTGAACAGTGAGACGACCGTTTCTGACTTGTAGAGAAATTTTAATAAATCGGGTTTCGTAAATAGGCGCAGTGCATTTCTTGGGAGTCCAATCTGCCTTCGCCTTGTGCAATTTCATGCTGGGGATGCAAAGGTCTCTGGCCGCAGGGTTTGGAATATCACAGGGGACACACAGAAGTAAACAGATGATTATTATGCATGACCTTTGGCAGAGTAGAACCCTTTCACTTTTTCCATTGAAGTGGGCAAATTCACTTTGATGGGTGAAGCCAGTTTGGTGACATCAGGGTGGCGAGGGCCGAGAGTTGAGACAGAGCCGAGAGACATTAAAGAGGAGCAAACATAAATAAGGCTTGAGTTGGAAGAATCCCTCTGGCTTTTTTTGATGAAAGCTATGGACACTTAGAAAAGTATAGATGTGTATGCAAATCCACCAGAACTTTGAGGTCTTCATGTGACCCTGAGGGCATCCCAAGCTTCCTGCTGGGATCTAGCCTCTCCGCCCCACTGGGGCATTCGGCTTAGTTAAAATGGCTAATTGAGACATTTCCTCCCCCCACCGGAAGTGTAAAAATGGAAATAAAGGATGGAAAAACTAAAGGCATTATTTTGAAACACAAAGGCAAAGAGAGAAAGGATTTTTTTTTTTTAAATTTTTTTTTCAACGTTTATTTATTTTTGGGACAGAGAGAGACAGAGCATGAGCGGGGGGAGGGGCAGAGGAGACACAAATCGGAGCAGGCTCCGGGCTCTGAGCCTCAGCCCAGGAGGCCAGCCCAGCGGAACTCGAACTCACAGACCCGAGATGGTGACCTGGCTGAAGTGGGATAAGCAACCAAGCTACTTCGGCCCAAGAAAAGGATTTTTATTAGGTTAATACCTTCACTGTTCCATCAGAATCGATTTTAAATGAAATAAATTAGCATCGAGAGTGATTTAAAAAAGAAAAAAAACTTTAGGTTGTAAAGTGTAACAAATCTGCAGAAAAATGCACACGAAAGTGTTCAGCTCTGAATTTTCACAAACCCAACAGGAAGACAGTGGCAGAACCAGCGGTCGGATCCAGATCACAAAAGACTGCCTGGATCCCAGGAACGTCTCCCCGTCCCTTTCAGTTCCTAAGGGATACCCCTGCCCCCCCCCCCCACCAGGGTCACCCCATGGGGCAGGTAAAAATTAGAATGGAAGAAATGAGTTCTAAGTTTAAATGGAAAGGCATACAGAAGTTACAGATGACACAATTGCCTTTTTCTAGGACTCAGGCTGAGATCACCCAAGAACGGAGACCTATGACACCAAAGTAAATGCAACTCAGGCCTCGTGACCCAGGAACTTGAAAGAAATGGAAAAAACACATCAGACGCAGCGCGGGGTGGGGGGAAATGGCCAAATGCCTGAGTAGCTTAGAAACTTAGGAAGCTGGGGGTTGGTCTGGGGCCATCTCAGGAATAGGACCCTTAAACCCCAAAGTTCCTGGAGCCTCAGAATCTGCATTGTCGTGTCTCCTTGCTCCCACAAATCCAGACGAAGCTCGGCCTAGCTCCCTGGGCACACAGAGAGAGAGGTAATACTTTGGACTTCCCTGAGCTTTTTAATCTAAGGATTTCAAAACACTTTGCAAGCAATTAAGGTTACAACACCTCTGAGTACTGTTGTTACATGCATCGAATGGAGAGAAACATGGGTCAGGATTGGCTGGGGTGACATGTGATGCCGCAGATACATGAATGTAATCTCTTCAAAGGTAGGGACAAATCAGGGGCGATTTCAACCAGTCCCATTATAGAAGTTTGGAACAAGAGTGTGCAAACACTGGCTGGGAAGCTGATCATTTGTAATTCCCCTTGTGTTCTCAACGAATGAGCAAATCATTCAAGTAACATCTCCATAACCTTTTACTCATAGTGGAACTTTCTAGAAGTGTTACTCTTTCCCTCCCCCACCCAGTTCCCTTCCCCCTTTTGTAATCCCAGCAGCTGAGTGAAATAGGCAAGTCAAATATTATTTGCTCCATTTTGTAGACGAGAACACTGAGGCGTGAGTGCCTTTCAGTAGTTACTCAGGAGTAAGGAGCTTGGAGCTGGGACTTGAACTTGGGTCTTTGGACTCCTTCCTCAACGTTGTTGTTGTTGTGTCTGCACACTGTCCCATGAAGTCTTCTGGTAGAATGATGAGTGGAGAAGGTGGTTTGAGATAGTTACAAATACTGAGCCTTTACCCCACTAGTCTCGTCACAACAACCCAGCACATCAGTCATAAAGGTGGGAGCGTCCCACAAGGTGAGAGATACATAAATCAATAAACACTTACTGTGTACCTACCGTGCGCCAGGCACTGTAGACCCTTGGCAAACAGATGACCCCACCTCAGTCCTCCTAGCTCATGGAATGGGAAGCGCCCTGGGGTCAGGGACTGTGACCGTCTTGTTCAGCCTTGGCTCTCCAGAACCCAGAACAGTGCTTGCCACAAGGAAGGTGTCCAATGTCAACATAGATGGACAGGTGGATGAATGGAAGTTGGATGCATGGGTGTCTTCTGACAGCTCAGGGAACAATGAGCGGGGAAGCAGAAATCTTGGGACTGGGGTATCGTTCTAACACTGAACCCCTTCTGCTGTATGACTTTGAAGAAGCAGATCTGCCACTGTGGTTCTTATTTGCTCATCTTTATATATATTTTAATTTGAAAGAAAGAGAGAGAGCATGAGCGAGGGAGAGGGGCAGAGGGAGAGAGAGAATCTTAAGCAGGCTCCACGCTCGGTGTCGATCCCACGACCCTGGGATCATGACCTGAGCCGAAATCCAGAGTCAGAAGCCCAAACAACTGAGTCACCGGGCGCCCCTTTATTTGCTTGTCTTTAAAGGGGAGTGATAATCCTTGATTTCTTCCGTCCCTTCAGCTGCTGTTTTGTGAAAACCGAACGTTCTGTGATTCTGTGAAAACAGGTCCTATAAGGATCCTTGTCAGACTGACCATGGGAATAGTTTCATGCTTCCTTTTAAAACAGTCCAGCAGAGGGGTGCCTGGGTGGCGCAGTCGGTTAAGCGTCCGACCCAGCCAGGTCACGATCTCGCGGTCCATGAGTTCGAGCCCCGCGTCGGGCTCTGGGCTGATGGCTCAGAGCCTGGAGCCTGTTTCCGATTCTGTGTCTCCCTCTCTCTCTGCCCCTCCCCCGTTCATGCTCTGTCTCTCTCTGTCCCAAAAATAAATAAACTTTGGAAAAAAAAAAAATAAAACAGTCCAGCAGAGTGATTGGGTTCCCGTCTAACTTTACTCTGGACAAGGAAAGGCATTGTAGGGACGAGGATTATGGAACTGGCTTGTCAGCAGAGCTCTGGCTGGGACAGGGAAAGTGAGTGCTTAGTAAATCACCCC